CTGGGAGTTGAGTTTTTTCTCCAGGATGGGAAGTAGTCCATGGACTCCTTGAAATGTAATTCACATGTATTAAGTAGGTACATTTTTCTAGGGAAAGATTTCTTTAGTTTCTCCATAACCTCAGAAAGCTTAAGAACAGGTTTTTGTATAATTTTTTCTGTCAAAATGGGGAAATACTCTGCTATTTTGTTACCTATTTTTTAACTTGAGCAGTGGAGGGTAGAAGTTTTGAGCTGCTCTGAAACTTCCCCATTCCATTTTCTCACTCAAAGGGTAACTGAAGAGCATGTTTCCACAGGAGCAGACTTAGTAGGGCCATCCCCGACTGGTGCCTGTACCAGTGGAGCAGGAGGATACCAGGGGGCTGATAAGTCCCACTTCTCTGGAGGACTGACCTGAGAGACCTGTCTTCTTGGAGATACCCCAGGCCAGGGAATAGTCTCCATGTGGTATGCCTGGTGTCCACAGCTGCGTAAATATAGCCAGATAAGATCCTCCAGGAAGAGGCACTCTGCCTCTGCCCCTTTGAGCAAATTCAGCCCTCTGGGAAGCTCACTGAGATACGTATATGTTCTATTAAGGCCATCGAGGCATGATGTCAGGAAGACAGCCTGGAATAGGAGTCTTATGCCAGCTGTGGACCCTTGGCTAAATAATGTAACTTTTCTGGGTCTTACGTTCATCATCTGTAAAATAAGTGGTTTGAAATAAGTGTTATTGAAGGACTCACCCAGCTGTAATCTAATATTTTATGATTCCGTGGTGCAAATCCAGAAGATAGATTGAAAACTAAAACCTAAATGACCATATACCTGCTGCATTCCCCTAAGGTTAGAGGAAAAAGTGAAAAACCTCTTCCCATTTTAATACATTCTGCCCTTTTTCTTAAAAAAGCAGTTTCAGCCTGCCTGGTTTTATGTAGTTGTTGTATGATTCATGTTTACTGTGCCTACTACCTGCCTTTTGTAATGATAGTACATAGTAAGACCTAATGTCTGCTCTGAGCTTTTCATCTTTCAGGTACCATGAAAGCATCTGGCTCTTAATTCTCACAGCATCCTGGTGCCAGGAGACTTCTGTTATTAGTAACCATTGCAGTGACATTTCATAGTTGCAGAGTGCTTTACAATTCTTGATTGCTTAGACTCTCCAATCCCCAAATAAAAATTTCAGTTTAGTGATGGTGAAATGATGGTCCACAGAGAAACCAAATGATTTGATAGAATATCCCCTTTCCTTTCAGCTTCACTTTTTCTAGTCTCCAGAGAGTCAGTTCTGAACTTTCTTGCAGATCTGTTCCTTACACACCCCTGCTATGAATTTATTGTAAGCATTCCCAGTGGCAGAAATCAGCCTGTGGCTCCATGTCACTAGGAACCCCCTCACCTCATGCCCTTATTCTTCCTGGTAGCTTCTCTGTGTTCTCACTGGTTAGTCCCTCTCTCTAGTTCTTCACTTCCTCTCTCGATGCTGGCAACTTCCCATAGGGTCTTTCCCATCTCTTTAAAAGTTAAAAAAAAACAAAACCTTGAACCCATGTCTCCCTCAAATTACTGGGCCATTTGTTCCTTTGCATGCTAACCATGTAGAAAAATTGTCTAAATCAAGGATCGGGAAATATATTCCTTAAAGGACCAGACAGTACCAAAACCTTGAACCCATGTCTCCCTCAAATTACTGGGCCATTTGTTCCTTTGCATGCTAAACATGTAGAAAAATTGTCTAAATCAAGGATCGGGAAATATATTCCTTAAAGGACCAGACAGTAAATAGTTTAGGCTTTGTGGGCTCTATAATCTCTGTCACAACTACTCATTTCTGCCATTGTAGTGCAGAAAGCAGCCATCAACATTACCAAAGTGCATGGCCATTGACTGTCTGTGAATAAAACTTTTCTACAAAAACAGGTGACAGGGTGGAGATGTCCAGTGGGCCATAGTTTACTAACCCCTGGTCTAAATCACTGGCCCTTCCTTCACTTCCCATTTATTCTTCATCCTCCTACAGCCTGTCCTTCTCTCCCACCTTTCCTTGGATGTCACTCTGTCAAAATCACCAGGGACCTCCTCATTGCTAAAGCCTTACATCATCTCACTTGACATATCTCCTGCATTTCTCACTGTTAACCACACCCTTCTCTACTAGCTCTCTCCTCCCTTGGATTCTAAAATATCACCCTCTTCTGATTCTTCTGCCTCTGTGACTCTTCCTCCCTAGTGCTCTTTGCCCCTTATAGCTCCACAACACTTAACCTGTTACACATTTGTCTCTGCATAAATTAGGAATGTTTGCCTCAAGGAAATATTAAACTAACAAATAGGAGTTAAACAAATAGGAATTGATATTTCTCACGTTACCAGTCCTGATGTAGATGGTAGCAATTGGTTCATCAGCCTTGACAGTGTTAAGCCATTATCTTTGTAACTCTTTTGTCCTTTTCTTTTATGGTGGTGAAATGACTACTACAGTCCCACCAATCACCTGCAAGTTCAAGGCAGGAAGAAGAGGTAAGGGATGTTGCCAGCCATGTCTCTCACATTTTAACAGTTTTCCTAGAAACTTCCTCTTTGGACTTGTTTTTACATTTTAATGACTGGCACTAGTTGCAGAGGAGGTCCTGAAAACAAGGCTTTAACAGGGCACATTGCCATCTCAATCAAAATGAAGGTTCTGTCAAGGAGTAAGAAGAGGAAGGTGGATTTGAATAAGCAACACATGTGTCTTGACACAGTCTCCTGCACCTTGTCTCATTCCTGTTTCTGTTCCTAGTGCCCAGCACAGTATTTATTCCATAACAAATACTTAGTAAGTGTTGGATGAGCGAATGACTTAGATAAAACACAAAGGTCAGGAAGAGTGTAGAACATTCCCAAGGTTGCCTGGCTTCTTTTCCACAAGCAATCCTTAATTTCAATCCTGAGGGAGACTTTCACACCCACCATCTCTGAAGCAAGGAGGCTGTAGGTGCAAAGGCTTCCCCCACTAATCTTCCACTTGTAAAATCTTGATGATTAGTTAAGCCTAAGGGCATTGCTGTTCTGAAGGTTGTCTTGGCTGACATCTTTCAGATATAGAGCTTTATGAAGACATGTGGTGCCCCCAGACAGGCCAGTATTTATGTATTTTTTTCATCATGTATTTTGAAAAGGAGACTGATGATTGTGTGGAGAAAGAATTTTGAGAACAGTATCATACCTTTCCTCTCAGTCTTAAGCAATTCAGCTCTAGCCCCAAACTCTCATACCTACTCAAAAAAAAAAAGGTTCTGGTTAACCAGGCCCTCCACCTCTCCTTAGGAGGGGAGTTTGAGAATATAATTGAGAATTCTCCTGGGAATCCCATACCATCCTTTCATAGCTCATGCAGGTTTTTCTTCCATTACATGGAATGTCCTCCCCAACTCAACAGAGCTTCCGTAGATGTGGTTGTGCTCATTGCCTCACGTTTCCAGTAAGGTTTTAGTGCTCCTCCTTGATGGGCTTCCTGGGCAACCCTTCATGTGACTGTACTTGCCAACATACTGATGGAAAGCCTGCAGAGCATGGACAAGCACCTACAAAACCCTCATTTCCATCCTCAGGCCCCTTTGCTAACCAGATCCTTCATCTGCTGCTCAGCTTTTCTCTGGTGAAGTGGCCTCTAAAAGGGGAGGAAACAATGAGATACAGGATTGTCCAGGAGTAGAGAAGGTGAGTAGGAAGCACTGGACAGCCCTTGGTCCTTCCCTGAGGCTCAGGTCGTGCTCATGAAGGTTTTCTGGGAATCAGTTGATAGTTCCCAATACATAAGAGTGGCTTAGGTCCTTCTACTGATGAAGCAGTAACAAAGCTTGTGGTGGACTCTCTCTAGAATAATTTAAAGATACCTATAATAGATAGACTTCTTGGAGGAGAAAAAAAATATTAGAAAATTGGGAGTTATGTGACAGAATTATCATTGGGCTAGATAGAGACTATAATACTATGCTGATGCAATCAACTGTTATTTCAGACACTAGTCAGCAGTGTTATTCTCCCTTAACTTTCTTCCCAAATCCTCTCTCCAATCCTGATAGCCCCCTCTTTCATTCACTTTCTTCCAGTCTTCTTTCCCCCAGTCTTCTTTCCCCAGTCTTCTTCTTTCCCCCCTTTCCATCCTCCCCTATTCCCACCCCCAAATAAAGACTGATCTTAAATGTGGTACAGGGACAGGCCCTCAGAAGTGGACAGATTGTTCCTGGGGAAGACTAAACTTTTTCCATATTTTCCAGAAGAGATATTAAAATGACAGTAACTGTGGCTGGCCAGGACAGAGGAGCCACCTAAAAGTGGTACCCTAAAAGCCCTAGTCAAAAGACCTAAACATAGTGGGAAGGGACTGAAGCACTGCAGGCCTGGGCTACCTGGGGCAGAAAGTTCTGCAGCAAAGAAGCAGTAGAGCTAGGGGTCACCAGTCATTTATATTAGAATGGCAGTGTAGGTTTAATGTTTTTCATGAATTTGTTTTTTTTGACAATTTTTATGTTCATATTAGTATTTGATTTCACTGATTTTTTTCTATTTTTATGTATTTTGAATAACTTTTTAGATACTGGTACAAAATAAGAGCAAAACTTTTTTCTTGGGTGAAATAAATAAATATTATAAACAAATGTTATAATCACTACTACTGGAATTCTCCAGCCTAACTTAAAGATGAACCAGGCCAGTCTACCACCCATTCTCAGTAGTTTCCTTGTCTCTACCGCTAGATGGCACTACCGATCAAAATCTCTGAGTGGATGCTGGCCTTTGGGGGTGACAGAAGGAGCAATAACCTTGTCAGAACACTGACAGTTGTCAGCTTCCTGTGCAGGGATCCCAGGCGTGGGAGAAAGGCATTCTTCATGCACACTTTTTCTCTCTAAAAGCACAGAAAATGTAGCTATACAGGAGGCACTGAGAGTAAGCCCTTAACTCCAAATAACTTATTAAGTAGGAAAATAAAAAATTAGTCCAAAGTGTCCAAGAGTCCCTTAAATTTCACATCTGTGAGATTGAGAACTAGATGGTGAAGAGAGAAAAAACAAAGACTGATCAGAACCTATATTTTTGTTCTTAAAGGAAATTAAAAACTTGTTTTATTAAAATGACAGCCATTGTTCATTTAATAATCTAAAAACACTGCTTAAAATCCCCTGCAAGCTTGAAGCTTTCTTCTCACCTATAGTTCTTGAAGATGCTATGGCCTCAACTTGTAATAATTTCCAAATCTTTTTGTCAAGCTCATAACACCTCCCACATCCAGTGTTTTATAGATTCAGTTTTAGAGTTTTATCTTGAACCTAGATTCACAGAGTTTACGATTCAGACATACTCAAGGTCCCTCAGCTAGTGACAGAGGTGGGAAGTAAACTCAGATTGTTCTGCTACATTACAATTCCCCACACATTGGGTACCTAGAACTGACTGACAGTGTGACGTAAAGCAAATTCAACATAAGCAGTGGTCAGTATCAAATCTCAGATGGGTCCAATAAGCCAAAAGTTTGGAGAGAGAGTTACTAATATGTTGCCCCTTTGCCTTTATAACCATATCAAGAAGTTACTCTAGAGGGTGCAGGAAAGGAGTTGGAGTACTCATCCTTCTGTACACACCAGGGATTTGAGTTGGCTAGGGAAGACTGGTCAGGTGTGTGCACACATGTGAGTTATTTAGAGTGTAGTGCTTATTCCTAGTACCTCCTGAGAGGATACTAAACTGTTTTTTTCTTCTCTCCACCACCAATTGGGATGATTTGTCATCCACATGAAATATTTGTGTATATGCTGTTGCACTTTTTACTTTCTAAGAACTGTCAGACCTATTAGAATAGGTTCATTGCATTAAATGCTCTGGAAATATGTACTCTTCATTTTTGAGATGTTCTTATTTGCCCAATAATTTGTTTCAAAAAATAATATATGAACATGGATCTGAAATTTATGGCAGTGACTGCTTTGATCTAACGTTGTCAGACTTTACCTAGGACAACTTCTCGCACCATTTTCCCGTCTCCTCCTCATCTTGTTCCTATTGAGATCCTTCTCCAGCGAGCCCTCCACTGAGGCATTATCATGGCAGAGCAGACACCTAGTCTGCTTTATCTCATGAGACAAAAAGAAAAGATCAAACTGGTGACTCTGCTTGCAGATTCCAGTGCCTGTCTAATAGAATTTTTTGGTAATTATTAGAGTCTTCCTATTTTGGGGATCTGAAACATGGTAACTAGTGTCCCCATTTCAGTGCCTGTCTAATAGAATTGGTAATTATTAGAGTCTTCCTATTTTGGGGATCTGAAACATGGTAACTAGTGTCCCCATTGTTTTTTAGTATAGCCCTGGACCCTCTTTTCCAGTCCTGACCTAACACTTGGCTGCTTTGTGATTCTAGAAAAATAACTGTGTGATGCCTGAGGATATGAGGAACTTCTACCTGATGACCAATGGCTTCCACATGACTTGGAGTGTGAAGTTGGATGGTGAGTTGGCTCCTTTGCTACAGGTGAACATTTACCTGGCTGAGAGGTTGGATGGGACAACCCTGAGGGCCTTTACAACTTTGAGTCTTTGAATCTGGATGGTTTTCATGAGTGTTCCTTGAGTGCTATGTCTAGAAGCTGTGATTGTCTCCCAAAGCAAACAGATACCATATTGCTTCCCCCACAACCACCCCATGTCAGAGTCTAGCCAGTACTGAACTGAAAGCTCCCTTTAGAGGCTTCCTGTTGGAATGTGGTGGAGGAAAACATTAATCACTATGCAAAAACCCAAGCCACCTAAAGCCCCACCTTAGGACTCCACCTCGGAGCAAACCCCTCAGAGTAAGCTGAAATGACAGCCTCCAGTGTTCATGGGAGGGGCTTGTCTCCTCTTTCAGGCTCCTTCCTTTACTCCCACCATTGTGAAGACCTCAGGACTCTAACCCTCAAACCAGAGCCTTGCCTTCTCCCCTTCACATCACCTCAGTCTAAATCACCAACTACCTCAGTTCACAACCTGTACTCACTAGTCTTAAATGCGTCTAAGACAAAACATTTGCATTGCACATGTGGAAACTCACAACTTTGTACATGTCAGAGAGTTGTACATGTCAGAGATTGCAGGTACTATGTAGACATGAAAGGCAGTGCTGCACACTTGGGCGACAACTCATGTAAGATTTCCAAAGCTGGGAAACCCTGATCTAGCCACTGGAGTCCAGCCCATTTCTAGCAGATTTCTCAGTCCCCCCATAGGCCTTTCTGTCTTTGACTCCAACCACATCTCCAGATCTACTGTGGCCTTGGGAAGCACCCTATACCTCCTCACTGCTATCCTGAGAACGCAGTGACTTCTGTTGCACAGCATATCTACTGACTTCTACCTTTCATCACCTCTGCCTCCTGCCTATACACCTGAGTTCTCTTTTTGGTGATTCCCAAAGCCTTCCCATCTCCCTCAGCTGATGAGAGGTACTTTTTATAGCTTACTAATGAACATTTAACATTAGCTTTTAGCTTAGAATCATTTTCTTCAGTGGCCTAAAAACTGTCCTTGTCACCAGCATCAGAACCTCCCTTATAGCACAGCCATGGCCTTCAGAGTCTGGGGCAACAGAGAGGGG